TCTTCTCCTCCTCTCTCTCTCTCTCTCTCTCTCTCTCTCTCTCTCTCTCTCGCACCACACTCGCCAGGAAGGTTCTCTAAAATCAATAGGGCCGGGCCGGTTCGGGGACCTCGCGCGTTCTGCATTCTATCCGCGTGGAGTTACGCTTGAAAATCCGTCGGTCGTGATCCTTGCGGAATTACCGTGCGGCTCGCCAGCACGCGCGTGCCAAAAGCTACACGCTGCGCGCGACCCCTGCTTCAGGTAGCGATCCGCTCTGCAGAATGTCTCACAGGAGGACGTGAGAAACTCTCAAGAAATCAAAGACGTTAATCACACATTCGAAAGACATAATTCTCGGTTAGTTCTCGGGGGCGAAAAGCTTGAGAAAAAAAACGATTTGTATGAGGGCGTGATAATCGTACCGTAGAAAAGAAGATACAGGTCAGGAAAATATTTGCGTGCCTTTCTACAAATCTCACACCATCGATTTAATTTCTCTTAGCGCTTGTCACTTTGATGTGACTTTTAAAAAAACGTGCTCATGGAGAGTTAAAGGACTTTTTGGGAGCGATGACGTAAGAGACGTTTCAGATTCGCGCAGCGGTCAGGCAGGTGACGGATAAGCGAGGCTTCCTCGACGCAAAAGGCACAACTGCGACTTCTTTCGAGCGATTATTTTTTCTTCGTGTCTGAACTCTTACCGCGCTTTTTCACTTTTTACGAGAGGGATGCTCTCGTAAAAGCGGCATATGGTCGTGACGGCCATTTCACGTACCGTGCGATATAATCGACCGGCCTGAGCTTCTAATTTGGAACTTTCTTCCTCGAAAGCCGCCTCCCTCGGAGGGAACGTAGAATTAGAAGACGCCAGCTCTCGCCAGCGTTAGTGGTCCTGAGAAAATGCCAGCACGAAGCGCACATGGGGGAAACATATGTGTGGGAAACACATCGGTGATAAAAAAAAACAGTTCACTTAGTCCGAACTCTCGTCGTAAGATGTTGATTTTTATCAAAGAATTGCGAGAGAGAGAGAGAGTTCCTCTCGAATAAATTATTTTGTAACGCGAATGTTACGAGGACGCGTATCGTTTAACGTGGGGATTTGATGAAAATCTGCGAGATGGAATACGGCGTTGTCCTTACGAGTTTCTCGAATATCCTAGATGCTCTATCTGCAGCCGTGCATCAGAACCGCTTCTCGGGGCGGCACGAAGCGAAGGCGGAGCGCGAACGGAGGCCAAAGATCGACGAGCCTGAAGGAAACGAGAATCCCGATTCCTTGGACGTAGCGCTCGAAACATGGAAAAGCGGTGGGATAAGCGAGCCCGTGCTATCTAAGAGCGGCTATAAATTCTCCCGGGAGCTCTTCGCGTTGCGGAAATGTGGAAGAAATTATTAGGATAAAACATTAGCGGAACAAAATGAAAAGTTTGTTGAATGTACATAAATTATTTTCGCCAACGATCGGTGGCTCGATCGTGAACGTTACACTCGGATCTGAGACAGTAGAACGTTTAGATGACTGTAAAAAAAAAAAAAAAATCTCTTTGCAGGGAATGACGACACGCAGAGCGAAATTGTGAAACGCTTCTGAAATTTGCTTCTGAAAAGCCAATGTGCAATAATCGCGGCGAACGCGAATGTAGGCACGGCCGCTATCGGTGATTTGCTAACATCAGGGCCATCTAACTGTTTTGTAGAACCATCCTACTTTTCTCTGAACGGCGGGTCGCGAGGTGCTCAACCTCTATCTACGGGCAATACCTGTCCAATCGAAAATGGAGCCGAATCGGAGATAGACGACGGCTCCTCTTTCTCCCTCTTGCGTCCGCGCGACGCAGCGGACGCAGATTGCTTAATTTCAACCGAGCCGAGTTGAAAACGCGACGGTCAGATAAAAGAAAGAAAAAGTTATTTTTCTCTCACGTAGAGATACCAGATATTACGAAATATCGTCTTGCAAACAGGCTCGCTCACTCTCGCGTATTCGTCGCCGTGTCGCCTAAAACTCGTCCAGACGCTCCGGAGAGATGTAAACTTTTTTGACACATTGTTGCAGCCCGCTCGTAAAACTCCCCCCCCACCCTCTCCGTTCCGCGAAATCGTGCTAAAGAAAAAAAAAAATATGAATTCGGAAAGTCAGGGACCAGAACGAGCGAGAGAGAAAACGAAATGCCGATCTCTCGGTCTGGTCTCTCGAGCGAAAATGGAGCCCCCGCAGCCGCC